AGAACGAGAAGATTTTGGATGAGCCTAGGCAGCCTTGTAAGCTAATGGGTTTATCTAGTCAGCAGTTTGGGAAGGCCGGGATAATGAAAAATGAGTGTCTGTATCCCTTACCTGTTACCTGTGTGGAAAATTGTGACAGTAAAGGAAATGTGCCTGTGTCTGTCAGGGGTATTGACTTGCCTATGGAGGAAGCTACCTCGGTCTCCAAGCAGTTGTCTGTGAACAGCCCTGTGTGCTGTGACAAGGGAAATAAGATCCCAAGCTGTGTGTCTGGTAAAGGAGAATGTGTCTCCGGCTCTTCTTTGTCTGTAAAGCAGACAGAAGGTGCCTTTCAGCCTGTGATGGTTAAAAATAGTGCAGTTGTCTCAAAATTGGTTCTGAATTCAACTAAAGCCCAGGAAGAAAATGGTCCTAAGTTTGTGTCTGCTGGGGAGAATGGCCCTGTAATTAGGTTGCATCCAGTTAGTGTCTTAGCAAAATCCCAGAGACCAGACAATTCTGGTGCTTGTATTTTGCCTGTTGCTAATGTGTGGTTGAAAAAGAATGTCGCAACTCTGTCTGATCAGCGTAATATCCTAGCCAGGGCACAAGAAGAGCATAAAGGTGATTTAATTGGGTTACCTACGAACAGTTGGGAAACTTGTAGCAAAAAGGACAAAATTCCTGAACTTGTATGTGGCAAAGGGGAAAAAAATGCTTCTAACCTTTTTTCTAGTGAGTCTATAAATTTGCCTGAAAGGGGATTGTGTAGAAATCTGCCTGATGGGCCAAAGGTAATCATGAATGTAAGTAAGACCCAGAAAGAGTCTGTTGTTTCTCAGGGAAGTGTTCCTTTAGAGCAAGCCCTAGGTGAAGAGGGTAAGGGCAGAATTTCTGTAAGGGGTAAATTGTTGCTTAAAAAAGTTCCTGGGGAAAGGAATCCTCATAGTAATCTGTGCAAGCAGTTTGCTACAACTGAAGGGTGTAAAAGTGAGTTAATCCAGGAAGTTGCAGCTCCTAACAGCCAAAAAATGTCTGTTGTAAATGGATCCACTGACTTTCCTGTTGAAAGATCCAGTGTGGATAGTTTTGAGAAGGTCTCAAATGAAGTAAAAGCTGTTAAGAAAGTTAAGCAGCCCTACAACCAAGTGGCTGTGTTCGGCCAGCTTGTTGGGAAGACAATGGTGTTAAAACAGAAATGTCTCCATGCTAATTCTTTAAGTAAGCAGTCTGTGCCTCAGGGTCTGAGGACAGATTTGGTTACTGGTGTTTCAGAGCAGAACAGTTTTTTGGCTAAATGCTTAAAAATGCAGGGGAGAGCGAGCAAACTCTCACTCTCAAACTCTTTGGATTTGTGTGGTATCTCTGTAAAACAGAGTCCAGCCTTGAAATTGGTAGCAGCTGAAAATCTAAAAGCTAGTGTTTGTGTTAATGCAAATTACCTGGCTGACAGGGTGAAGAAAAATTTGCTAATAGCTGTTAGCAAAGAAAGCCCACCCCATCATCCAGTAATGTCTGTTGAGGAAGAGAAATCAGGGATTAATCCTTTCAGGACAAGAAAAATAAAAAAAACAACTTAATTTTGCAAAGGGAAACCACAGGTTAATTCTAAAAGGCCCAAACCCCAATGGTATTAAGCCAAAGGTGTGGCATGACAAAAATAACTGTAAATAAACAATAAAAAGAACAGGAGTACTTGTGGCACCTTAGAGACTAACAGATTTATTGTGGCATAAGCTTTCGTGGGCTACAGCTCACTTCATCGGATGCATGTAGTGGAAAATACAGAAGGAAGATATATAGATATAGATATAGATATAGATATATACACACAGGGAACATGAAACAATGGGTGTTACCATACACATTATAAGGAGAAAGATCAGTTAAGGTGAGCTGTCAGCAGGAGAGAAAAAGAACTGTTTGTAGTGGTAATGAAAATGGCCCATTTCCAGCACTTGACAAGGAGATATAAGGAACTGGGGGGGGGGGGAGCGGAATAAGCATGGGGAAATAGTTTTACTTTGTGTAATGGCCCATCCACTCCCAGTCTTTATTCAAACCTAATTTAATGGTGTCCAATTTGCAAAGTAATTCCAATTCAGCAGTCTCTCGTTGGAGTCTGTTTTTGAAGGTTTTTTGTTGTAACATTGCGACTTTTAGGTCTGTAATCGAGTGGTGCCACAAGTACTCCTATTCTTTTTGCGGATACAGACTAACACGGCTACTACTCTGAAACCTGTAAATAAACACTTGCAATGGATTTGTTGTGATTGCTAATGGTACATTTTGTAACTAATGTTTTGCTAATACCAAGATTTGTAAAAATGTGCCTAATCTTTTGAAAAATCCCTTGAACATGTTACAAGTAATACATAAAAACACGCCTTCTGTTAAAAGGCCTTGTAATGCTAATGTTGCACTGTTAGTGCCTGTAAACAGTCTTGGAACTTTTCACAGGAGAAAAGACATTCCAGACCTAATGTGCTATATAAAAAGAAAAACGAAGGCACACGACCATATTGCTTTCATGGCTAAATGCCAAGCTTTCTATTCTATGAACAACATTCATATCTACATTAACTTGTAGAGCAGATCCAAACCGCTATTCTGCTAACCAAGTTTTAACTTAAGTTTTTAAAAAGATTCAATCATGTTATTGAACATGACTTTGATAAACCATTTCTGTTATACACTGATATGGCTTCTAACCCAGTAAGAGCTGTAGTGAGACAGAACCCAGGATGGGGAGCTCTTGGGATGCAGTCAGTGATGTTTGTGTCATCCCTTCCGGCATCAATTTTGCGTTGGGGGTGTGACGTTATGAGAGTAATATAATATTTCATTGAAAGGTAACAGGGCCAGAAAGAGTTAATTAACTCAGACTGACCTGACCCATGGCCGAACTTTAGAAACTAGTTAGGAAAATATGCAAATAAATAAAGCTTTGAAATGCAAGTCTGCATTGTTAAAGGTAGAAGGGGAGGTGTTTGCTCAGGTCGTGTAATGTAAGCAAATGAGTCTTGTCTATTGCTATAGTTTTAATTCAAAGATCAAAAAAGGAATATTAACATTTATAATGATACTTGAGTGAAATAGTATTATTGTCTCTATGTCTCTTTGAAGGTTGTGGTAACCTGTATCTAAACTGTTTAATGAATAAATTACCCTGTGCTAATTGCCAGGATGTTTGGGAGAAGGAAAGTTAAGCCTATTGTTTTCTCAGGACGAAACGCTGCTGGAAATGTATAAAAACCCTGGGACATAATCCTTCTTCATCTCAGATCCGCTTTGGGTTTCAAGAGGGGGAAACGTTAAGCCACAAAGATTGAGATCCCCAGTCACTGACTGGAGTCACCCTGAATATGGACGTTGGACTATAACCTCTGGACTATATCTCTAAAAGGACTTTTGGCAACTACAAGCTCATCTCTGCTATGTGTCTAAACCTCAAGAATTGAACTGAAGTCTGTCTGTATATTAATCGTTTAACCAACACTCTCTCTTTTCTTTTATAGTACATTTTTGTTTAGTTAATAAAAATTAACTATAGCGTGTATTTTGGGTAAGATCTAAATCATAATTGGACCTGGGTATGTGGCTGATCCTTTGGAATTAAAAAAACCTTTTCTTTTATATGATAAAATAAGATTTTCAGTAATCATCACATATCTAACATGTGTGTCTGGATGAAAGCCTAAGGCGGGGCACTTTAAGAAAACTGCGTTGTTCGTATTTCTGAGTAACCAGTGAGGTACTATAAAAGCTGTTTTGTGCTGGCTTGGTAAATCTAAGTATTGGAATATCCACCAGCGTTTGGGGTTTGTCTGCCCCATTCTGTTTGCAGTTCACCCTGATTAAGTGACCTCAGCTGGCTCCCACAGGCAGCACCGTCACACCCCCCTGCTCCTTCCTGGTGGCTGGAAGCAGCTCCCGTCCTTTTCCTCCCACACAGTGCGGAAAGGCTGCTGCTGGCCACATTCTGGTGTGAACCCTGGCAGAAATCTGGAGCAGGGGGGCATGTGACCCTGAGTTTCCCCGCCACACACATGTTGCCTCGGGAAGACACAGCGTCAGGTACCAGGAGAGTCGGGTCCATCTCTGGGGGCCCAGCCAGGCACGGAGGGTGGAGAGCGCTGAGCAGGGAGGTTCGGGTCGGTCAGTCACTCCCCCCCATGTGAGAGAGCGGTACTAGAGTGTGTGTGTGTAAGCGTAACCTCTCCCGGTGAGGGGCGGGTTAGGGGGGTGTGTGTGTCACCCCTCCCCATGTGAACCCTAAAGCCTTAAAGATAAGAAAGTAAATAAAAAGAATCCAGCTACACAATGTTTCTTTTCAACGGGCTCAGTCACTTGATGTTAATTTGAAGGTTTGTACTGCGTAGCTCTGTTTGATTGCCGTTGAACTCGCTTGAAGATGAGTAACTTACTAGGTGTCCCATATTCAGCATAGGGAAATAGGGTCACCCTACTGGTGGGTTGAGATCAGAGCCCAGCCCTGCCCCCAGTGCAGTCAGGGGTGACTCCGGATTGACCATCATGGGGGTCTCTGGGCAGATGGGACACTCCTTGGGGTGTCACTTAACTTCCCTGTGCCTCCATTTCCCTTTGTCTGAATGACCGTAATCATCCCTCCTGCACCTTGTGTCTGGTTAGATCGTCAGGACTTGGCTTTAGGGCGGGGGCTTTTTCTCCCCCTGTCTGTGCAGCACCCAGCACCTCTGACTCCCAGCTCCCTCCCGATCTAACCACTAGACCCCACTCCCCTCCCAGAGCCAGGGATAGAACCCAGGAGTCCTGGCTCCCAGCCTGTGGGGGCCCATTAGGTAGCTAGATGGGTACAGAGGGACACTCCGGATTTTAGGCAGATTCGGGTGTAGCTCCCAGGAATCTCTGGGATGTCGGAGAGGTTCCTCTGGCTGGGTTTTCTCCCGGGGGGCCCCGTCTCTGGAACTGTGCGGCGAGGACGGGGCGAAGTGACTGTGCCGGGGTCTGTCTCAAGGTCTGTCTCCTTCTCACTGCAGAGACCACCTACTCCAAACCCTCCATCTCCCTGCACCCCAGCAGGGAGGTGACCCCGGGGGAAGCCGTGACCGTCCGGTGTCAGGCTCAATACCAGAACATGAGGTTCCTTCTGTACAAAGATGGAAACCCGACTGCAGTGCAAGAGGTGGAGCCGGCTGGGAACATGGCTGAGTTTCCCATTCGCAATGTGAGCCGCAGAGACGCAGGGAGCTACCGCTGCCGATATAGCAACAAAACGGACCCGCCTGCCTCTTCGCATCCCAGTGACCCTGTGGAGCTGGTGGTAGCAGGTGAGGGGCCCGGCTCAGTATCCCCACTCCCAGTTGGACCCTCAGGGGCAGGGGCATGTGCAAGGGGGTAAAGCAGGTGCAGGGGCCCCCGAATCAGTGGGATCGGAGCACAGAACGCCTCCGGGGAGCAGAGCCAGCTCCTCTGGCTGCGGGGGGCACACAAAGTGTCCCTCCAAAAGCAGCCACATTTTCATTCCTGTGCACGCCCCTGACCAGGGGGTCTGTGCGCCAATGGGCCACTCAGAGCCAGGCTCTGCCCTGAGCCCTGGGCCCAGCAGAGGGGACGCCCGGCTGGGGGGCAGGGATGGAATTAATGATGGGTTCCCCAGCAAGGGGCAGCAGCAGCAGCTGAAGGTTCAGGGCAGAGGGAGGGGGGATCCCTGCCCCAGAGGGAGCTGCAGAGCAGGGGGCCTTTCCCAGGGCGCTGCTCCCCTTCCTTCCCCCGGCTCTGGGGATGCACAGAGGAGTCAGGGCCCAGGGGCTGCCCAGCCCCCAGCCTGTGCCTGCATTCCAGGGCTGGCTGTGTGATGCCCACCTGGGCTGGGGGCTGTCGGGTTAAAGAGCAGTGGGAGCTGCACAAGGTGGCTGCTCACAGCTGTGGGGAGAACCCCAAGGATTCCCGGGCAGGGGAAGTGGGGGGAGCTCGAGCCTGGGGTGGGATTTTTATGTGGTGGGGAGAGAAAGAAAACAGTGGGGGACAGCAGCCAGTGCTCCTGGTGGAAACGGTGGAAAGAATTTGGAGGGAGGCTGCCCAGCGCCGGGAGAGAGACACCGGCAGCCAGTGAGGTAGGAACATGCACCAGAAATGCAGGGACCCAGCGAGTGGGGAGCCAGTAGAAAGGGACCCGGTGGCCGAGTTGTGTCATCGAAGGGGCCAGGCAGGGAGCTGTCAGGGAGAAAGTCCCATTGAGAAGGGACAGAGATGGCAGGAACAGGAGGAGGCAGACAGAGGAAAGACAGAGGCATGAGGGGGAAGTTAAAGGAAGAACCGGGCAGTGAAACACAAAGAAAAAAGAGTCTCTACGTTACCTAAGCAATTGTTAGAAAACCGCAGGAGAAGTGAAGCACGAATGAAACGTGACGGAAACCAGCTGTGAGCAAAGAGAAACGGGCTGAAGAAATGAGGAGGAAGTGAGCTGTAGCGAAAGTAAAGCAAATAGTACGGACAAAACGTCCGCCCAGCACCTTCAGGGGCAGCGACAGGAAGGGAAAAGTTGTCCGAGAGCGAAGGGACTCTAGAAAAAGCAGCGGAGGGACAGTTGTTCAGTTGAGAAGCCGACCCATCGCCTGGAGAAATAGCTGCAGGTCTCTGAGCTGGAACTCAGAGCAGCAAACAGAGACGGAGCAAGGGGAGGGCTCAAGATACAAACCAGCCTAAGAAGAGAGAAGCGGCGAAGGGACCGTAGAGCGGTGGGGTTCTGGCCTAGGGCCTTGGACGTTCTAACGCCAGATCCTGGTGCTCCAGGAATGTAAATTGTTGCCCATAAAGGGGGTTTAATTCAGCCAATGGTAGTTACTGTCCAGGCGAGCTCAGCAATAGTTCCCAGTGTGACCCTACCCAGCAGTTCCTGCTACACCAGCGAACTCTGATTCACTTGTGATCATTCCCCACTGAACTGATTTCTCCTTCCCCAGCTGATGGAGATAAAACGCAATTGGCCTCTGGGTTGCCTCAGACTCTCCTTGCCCTGCCCCAGCCACCCCTCCACAGGCTCCTTGCAGATGGATCCGTGCCATTACCTTGCTGAGGGGTGGGGGACCCCGTGTCTCTTGTGTCGCTAGCCCAGCTCTCTTGGTCTTGGATTCGGGGGAAAAGCATTCAGGAGACTCTCCCTGCAGGCCCCTGTATCGGCCTCATCACTGGGGCCGGGCTGCGGGGACGGGGCGCAGTGACCATGCCGGGGTCTGTGTCTCACGGCCTGTCTCCTCCTGCCTGCAGAGCCCAGCTACCCCAAACCCAACATCTCCCTGCACCCCATTAGGGGGGTTGCCCTAGGGGGAGCCGTGACCGTCTGGTGTGAGTGTCGGTGTCAGGGAGCAAGGGTCCTTCTGAGTAAAGCTGGAGACCTGGCTGCACAGCACGCCACGGACCCCACAGGGGACGTGGTTGAGTTTCCCATCTGCAACCTGAGCCAGGGAGATGCAGGGAACTACAGCTGCCGATATAGCACCAAGTGGGACCCGCCCGTCTTGTCGGAGCCCAGTGACCCCGTGAATCTGGTGGTAGCAGGTTTGGGGCCTGGCTCAGCATCCCTGCTCCCAGCCCCACACCCAGCCGGATGCTCAGGGGAATCAGAGCATGTCTGGGCTGTTGGAATTAGCCCCCCCTGGTTTGATACAGCCCCATTTGGCAGACACACTCTCCTTCAGCTCTATAGACAAAGGGGCGTTCCTCCTCTGAAATCAGAACTGCACCCAGACCTGCTCCGCAGTGACTCCAGGTGTGAATGGCACGCTGGCTGAGGCAGGGACCGTCTCTGTGTTGTGTGTCTGTACAGCTCCAAGCACACGGGGGAGCTGGCCCAGGACAGCGGCTCCTGGTAATTAATACTAGTCCGCAATTATTTTGATTCCGGTTTCCGTGGAGCCAGCCAGGGGCTGTATTTGCTCTCAGGGTCTCGCTGGGCTGATCCTCCCCATTCTGGGATCCCAGGGGCGCTGAGCCGGCCGAATCCCTGGGTCCTGTCCTCTCCCAACGGACGCCGGCTCAGCCCAGGGAAGAGCTGCCATTGCCGGTTGAGGGGAGGAGACGTTCCCTGTATAACTAACCACAGACACCAGGGCTCCAGCTTTCTCGCCGCCACCCCTGACAGACACTGGTTCTATTCCCGCAGGGAGAACTGACCCAACTCCGCTGGGAATGATGACAGCTTCCACCCAACCAAGCAGCGCGGGGCCAGGTCCTGTAACCTATAGGATTAGCCTGCTTGCTTGCATATATGTATCTTTTCTTATAGTTTAAGTACTATATATACTCGTTCATAAGCCGAATATTTTTGGTAAAAAGGTGACGCATCAAAGCGCGGGGGTCGGCTTATAAACAGTGTACACCAAAATTTGATGATTTTAAACTCTATGTAATCATTCCCGTAGCTCCCATTGGCTGGGAACGGTGGACCGCGGCCACAGGGAGCTGAGGGGCTCCATGCCTGCAGATGCTCCAAGTAAACAAAACGTCCCGCCAGCGGCTTACCCTGACAGGCCGGGAGCCAAAGTTTGCCGACCCATTTATTGATGTCAATACTGCAGCCTTTTAAAGTTGCAAAGGGTTTGTTTAGTGGACTAGATTGGCTTGAAATGGACCTCATAAGTCTTGAGCCAATAGGAAAATATAACGTGTAGAATCAATGGACTCTCTAATAAAATTGAAATAGCCTGATATCCCTACAGACCTGCCAATCTACAGGGCTGCTTTGAAATAAACAAAGAACAATAATAATTTGACAGTGATAAAGCAGGTGACATTCCTCTATAGAGTCCTACAAAATCTATAACTACAATAATAATAATAATAATAATCTATTTTCATACTAGTATTTAAAATGAACAACCGTGAAATCAAAAGAAAAAGGTCTTCTTATCACGCAGCGTTCAAACTTAAAGTTGTTGAATATGCAGAAGCAAACGATAATTGCGCCGCTGCTTGTGAATTCTGTATCAATGAGAATCAAGTAAGAGAATGGCGAAAAAATAAAACACTAAAAGACATGCCAAGAAACAAGAAAAAATGTCCCACGAGGTGCGCTTCATTTCCTGAGCTAGAGAAAGTTCTCAATAATTGGGCTGTTGAATGTCGACAAAATGGGAACATTGTCACTAGCACTGGAATTCGTCTGCGTGCTCGGCAAATGTCGAAAGATGACAAATACAAGTCAGTAAAGCCGTCAATGTTTGTCGCATCAGCGGGTTGGTGGACTCGCTTCATGAACCGTCACGGTCTCTGTCTTCGTCAGCGAACAAAGATAGCGCAAAAGCTGCCGAGAGATCTGCAAGAAAAAATCAAATCTTTCCAAAGGTTTATTATAAAATATCAAAAGGAATATGCATTTGAACTGTCACAAATAAGAAATATGGACGAAACACCAATGACATTCAACCTCTGGAGCAACAGAACGGTAACTGGTGTTGGTGAAAAAACAGTTTTAATTAAAACCACTGGCCATGAAAAAATCCATTTTACGGTGGTTTTATCATGTTTGCCAAATGGATCAAAGCTCCCTCCTGTTGTTATTTTTAAAAGAAAAACCTTGCCTAAAAACATGACGTTTCCTGCTGGTGTCATCATACGTGCACACGAAAAGGGATGGATGGATGAAAGTGGGACTACTGAATGGCTGGAAAAAGTGTGGAATAAGAGACCAGGAGCACTTTTCAAGAGATCTGCTATGCTCATTTGGGACATGTTCAGGGCACGCAAGACGGATGAGGTGAAAAATGTGGTCAAAAATATGAAAACTCCTTTGGCTGTAATACCTGGAGGCTTAACTTCAGCTCTACTTGATGTCTTCCTGAACAAACCCTTTAAAGACAGGCTACGCAAAATGTGGTCTGAATGGATCTGCTCAGGCATGGCAAAGTTGACAAAAGGTGGGAATCTTATGAAGTCC